ACTTCCTCCTTGAGACCTTCATAGAACATGAAAATCTTAGCGTTGTCGGAGTAGTTAAGTCGGGCGCAGATTCGTCTGAAATCTGCAGCGTAATGCGAGGCTGATCCTTTCTGTCGAAGGTTTGAGAGCTCTCGTTCGTATTGTCGTTCTTCATCTGGTTCTTGGAACAGAGATAGAAGTGCACTTTCGAATCCGTGTAGTCCTTCGAAGATACCTTGGGTCTCTGGCTTGAGAGTGTCCCAGTCGTTGGTTATCATAAAGTCGGTAAGATGTGGTTCAAACCATGCGAGGGCTTTTCCCTTCAAAAAGGAGGCGGCATGGATGACCTTCTCGGCTTCGTCCTTAAAGTTCATTCCGTGGAAGCGTTGGTAGGCTCTGACTTGCGTGAGGAATCCCTTCAGTTGTCCTGGGGTTCCGTCAAAGGCTTGAGGTGAGTTGAGCCTGAGCTTCTCTCGTCCGTCATGCGGCGTAGCGATGATGTTAGCGGCACCGTGGAGAGTATCGACCTTCTCCGTAAGGTAGTCCGCTTCCTTGGTCTTGTTCTCAAGTCGCTCCATAGCGTCATTGAACATCTGTTGCATCATAGCAATGTCGGAGTCGTTCTTTTTGATCTTCTTCTGTAGGTTTTCATAGACCTTACGAGTGAAGTCAAGTTCTTCTTCCGAGTCTTCGACGTCCTTCATTTCTTCGTCCAGGGTTTTGGCGGGCATAGGGGCCTTACCCTTGGAGTCGTTGGAAGTGGACGGAGTGGCTTGGGAAGACATCGTCGTTCTTACTGTTAGTGAGTTTCGTAGGGTCAACTTACTGAACAGGAGCAATTAAAGTGTTACGGCCAGCTAGTCGTAGGGGTAGTTTGCAGAAGTTGAGGCTGCGGAACTGGTAACAGTAATCGTAGTCGGGGATAGCTTCAGGGAAGCTATGTCTGTCAATCGTAAGGGTAGGTAAGGCTTCGGTGATCAATCGTAGTCTTGTCAAGGTAGTAGCTGAAAGCGGATGTTAATCCTGATACGAAGTTAATTGCTGAAGAAGCTATGGAAAGTCTGTCCTAGAGCCCAGCTCGAGTCCATCCTTATATACAAGTCCGATCCTAACTGAACAGTGCTGAACAGTCCACTTTGTCTGGATATGTTGGATATGCCGAATATCCAACATATCCTTGACTCGGTTGGATATGTCGAATATCCAACATATCCTTGACTCGGTTGGATATGTCGCATATCCAACATATCCTTATCCCTTATCATATCTCTTATCATCACGTGACTTGTACCATAGTTCTTCCGTTCCTGGGGTTTCCCCAATGTTCCGTCCCGTCCTGCATATATGATGCGCCGTAGCCGCTAGGCGTCAGCGGGGCACGCCCTGGTCTTCATGTTGGGTCGTAACACTAATAGGCTGGTACTAGGCATAGCTAAGACGAAGTCTATTCATAAGAAATAACCTGGGTCGAGGGCATGGGTATCTATCATTAAGTAAATCTCAGCCCTAAATAGGGCACTTCATCCCCTTATTATCTTTAAAAAAACGACTATCTAATAGCAGTGGTTTTTATTATATCTCGATCCCTATAATAGCTAGGAGTTCGCAGCAACAAATAATAGCTAGACTACAGACTCAACGGCTGTTAAGTGGCTACAGAAGGTCTTTGTAAGGGGCTGGCCCCTAGGCTTGTTCAACGTAGAGGTGCCGTCGATTGACTATTCTAAGCTGAGGAGGAAAAGGAGGAATTACAGGGATTCGCGTACAGCTACGGCATGATATGCCCGGACTCGGCGGTGTACTGCGGCGGAATGGTGGCTCCGGCAAAGCCGGACATCTCGACCGGCTCCGGCCTGCAGCATAACCGAATGTAATAATCCAATGTAATAATCGGTTATTACAGGTCGCGGTCGGACAGCTTCCCAGCAGAGGGGTGTACGTGCGGCTCCGGCAAGGCCGGAGATCTCAACCGGGCTCCAGCCCGTGCCAGTCTTTATCCCCTAGACTATACCTAAGACTAAGGGGGAGGCTAGACTACTAATTATGGATAGGCATGGGAGTCATACGACGATAGAGTTTATATAGAATTGCTATATTAACAATATCCATTTACTTTTCTTACTACCATACTCCTTCCATATCCTCTAACCTCTCGACTAATCTATCTTCATGTTACGCCCGCCGCAACTTGTCACTGTGGGCGCGTAGCTATATAATGCAGAACAAGGGACAATGATGCCGGAGTCATCATTATCGAAGCTTTTGCTTTGTGCCACAGTTGGTTGCCTTGTCCTGCTCGTAACACTTCAGCCTAGTTAAGGCAGCCTATCGGAAGGAGCTCCGTTACTTATCTTAATAGAACGATTCTACCATTATAAATAAAAGGAACTTCCTAGCCTATTACTAGAAGGCTCGACTTACTGGTCTATTAGTCTTAAATATCAGAAATAGTTAGAAGTGGACTGGTCTATACCCTATGGCCATAATTAAGCCCCTAATGAACCCCCTACTACTACCTACCCCCCCTACCTAGCCTGTTACCCCTAAACTAGCTAGCTAGGGCAAAAAGAGATACTATAATGGTCAACTAACTACCCTAGTTGAGCCATGGGATTCTGCCACCTTTGTAGTACCCTAGTCGATACCCAGGAAGCTAGCAGATCTTAGCGGTCAACTATATGTTACGGCCAGCTAGTCGTAGGGGTAGTTTGCAGAAGTTGAGGCTGCGGAACTGGTAACAGTAATCGTAGTCGGGGATAGCTTCAGGGAAGCTATGTCTGTCAATCGTAAGGGTAGGTAAGGCTTCGGTGATCAATCGTAGTCTTGTCAAGGTAGTAGCTGAAAGCGGATGTTAATCCTGATACGAAGTTAATTGCTGAAGAAGCTATGGGAAGTCTGTCCTAGAGTCCGGCTCAAGTCCATCCTTATATACAAGTCCTGATTCTGAACATGTCCTTTGTGCTGGACAGTGTCCTTGTTTGGATATGTTGGATAGCTCATATCCTGGTTATCCAAGGATAGCTTGGATAACTCATATCCAACATATCCTTATCCTTATCTCTTATCTCTTATCATCACGTGACTTGTCCATAGTTCTTCCGTTCCGTGAGAGGGTGCCTAGTGTTCCTTGTCCTCTGCATACATGGTGCGCTGTAGCCACCGCGAACCTGCGGGGCAGAGCCTGCGGGGCAGACCTTGTTCTTGGTCATGCATGTTGGGTCGTAACACTATACTTATATACTTAACTCGATAATAATACTAGTACTTAGCGGCTGCTTTTTAGGAAGGTAAAAAAAGGCTTCATAGAGCAGGCCTAGTAACTAGCAGCTGCCCACCAGCAACTGGACCTTCTGAGGGCTCAAGTTGCCAACGCTGCAGTGAGGAAGCAGAAGGTTGTTAAGGTTGATCCCAATACGAAGTTCGCCAACATCAGGGATATATAGCGGGCTCAGATCGAAGTGGGTAAAAAAGAGGTTATTACGGTTGAATCCAGCGAGTCTGATTGCCCTAGTGAAGCTGGCAGCTGCATTGTAGTGGGTGAGGTTGAGGATCAATAGTTAATAGTAATGAGGAGGTTGGGTTGTGATCCCGTCGTTTTTGTGGTGCCAGAAACAGGGGGGGCCAGGAAGTGGGTATGTTGACTTACAGGTCCAGCTTTCTCACGACTTATGCTTCCTGGGAGCGGTCGATCTGGATATCGGCTGAATGGGCGACATCGATGTCATGATTGACAACATCGTCGCTGCTACCGTTCTTGGTTTTCTCGTTGATTTGCGCCTCGGACATTCCAAAAGAATAGTATAGTGCTAAGATCCGATATCAAGTAATTATCTTATTCCATGGAGAGAAGCTGGGAAAGAACTTGACTAAAGTATCACCAAGTACATGTAAAGAGTTCACGCAGTCCATCTCATATTATTGGCATCCATGACTTCACATCATCATTCAGCAACACAGTAGGATCTCCTCAATCGCATTTCTATCCCGATATCTAGAAACCAGATAATTCGCTCGTATCTTCATTCCGCAATTCGGTTCAGAGTCAGGAGAATCTGCAATTGTAAATCGGTTATCAGACACATGACAATCGCCTTGGCAGACGGGATCTCTCCTGACAACCCGAAGCCCATTGGCGATTGAAGCGCGCAATGTGCATACGACGCGCGGTCATGTCCGAGTGGAAGCGGGTTGGCGAACCGAGTTGACGTTCGCCTTTGATGCACGGCTCGGTTCGCGAAGCCGTCGTTATCAACTTATCAACTTATCAACAAGAGGTTTCCATTCGGTTCAAAAGCCAACTTCATGGACACAACCAAGATTGGTCTTATCGAAGCATTTTCTGGTGGCCGCATCCTCATACCCGGAATATATTTACGCACCATGTCAGTGCGTCTCCCGCAGAGAGGACATCTTCAGTCAGAATCTTCTACCTTGGGATAGCTGGTATCGGTGCCGGCAACAAGATGCGACTTGGCTGCACGATAAGTAGGTATCGTCTCATTGATGAAGCGGAGGAAGGAGGTGCCGCACACCAACTGATTAGATGGCATACCCTGAGATCAGCTAGCCCTGAAGTTGGAAACATCTCACAGTCGTTAACAAAATGCACTTCATCGACCTCAGTAATCTTAGCCCCCAGTTTCATAATCCCTGAAGACATCTCGGGCCAGCAAGCCGAGTCGCTGACACCCCAGGTTGCGATGCCCAGCCCCACTTCGGAGGTTTCGGAGGCTTCGGGGTTCGCCTCCGGTGCCGAGCCCGGGAATGCGGGAGCCCTGATAAGCTGCGCATTGGGGATCGGATGGTGCGATTCGGGAAACAATGCGGGGGATATGCAACACAGTGATTAGATCGGGGACGGACTCCTACGTAGGAGGCATGGAGTGTGCCTTATAACATCATTCAGCGCAACACCGGTGGCATACGTGTAACTGTCTCGCTCAGTTGGCTCAGCCTTTGCCGACTCAACGTACTTTGAAGAATAACATCTTTCAAGCATCTTTAATTCCCCGTCGTTCACAATGGGCTCGCTGGGTCCAAGTAGAAAGAAGATTAGAATCGCGATAGGTAAGTCGATGTCTGCAGCAGGCAGACTTTCGGCCAGCATCATGACAGTCTTGGCTCACAATTTGATCACCAGATCGCGGCGGCACCTTCACCGATGTGCACGCCTACATACCCGGCTCAAATGAGCCGGAAATGGTCTTCAAGCTTCTTTCGGTAGACCCAAGAAACTACAAAGATGCACCCACCGAAGGCATAAGACGCGTCCTGGCACATTACAGGGGCGCACCAGTATCCCGCGACGAGCCCCTTGACATCTCAGACGTCGAATCAGTTCTCATGGGAACGACCGTGGCCACCAACGCCCTCTTAGAACGACAGGGTGAGCGCGTCGCGTTCCTCACAACCAAGGGATTTCGGGATCTGTTTGTTATTGGCAACCAGGCTCGACCGCACATCTTTGATTTGAGTATTCACAAGTTGCAGAATCTGTATGAGAGGGTTGTCGAGGTTGATGAGCGGGTGACGATGGAGGAGTTCTTGGAGAATCCGGAGAAGCAGCCCATTGATATCGAAAGCGATCCAGAGCTCGTGAAGGGGTTGACTGGCGAGCCGGTTCGAGTTCTCAAGAAGCCTGATCTGGAAGTGGTGGCAAGCCAGTTGAGCGACCTCAAAGCTAAGGGGTTCAAGAGTCTTGCGATTTGCTTCATCCACTCGTATCTCTACCCCAATCACGAGAACGAGGTAGCGGAACTAGCGCGATCCATGGGCTTCAACGTTTCTGTTTCCTCTAAATTGCAGCCAACGGTAAGACAAGCCACCTCCGTCTCACAAACTGCTTCACAGGCTCACATCTGTCCAGATCAAGATGGTATCCCGAGGAAACTCAGCAAACGCCGACGCGTAACTCTCCCCACTCATCCGCCGCTACGTCCGCGACTTTGGAAGTGGGTTTAAGGGAGGCCTAGACGCTATCGCAAGTAAGCTCCTCTTCATGCAAAGTGACGGCGGCCTTTGTCTCTGGCAGAACTTCTCCGGGTTGCGCGCCATCCTCTCCGGGCCAGCAGGCGGCGTAATCGGCTTCGGCAAGTCCTGCTATGATCCGGAGACCAAGATACCGGTGATTGGCTTCGATATGGGCGGCACCTCGACGGACATCAGTCGCTTTTCGGGCACGTATGATCATGTCTTTGAGACGGAGACGGCCGAAGTCACGTTGCAGACGCCACAGTTGGATATCAATACTGTCGCTGCTGCTGGCGGCTCGATTCTGCATTGGAAGAATGGCTTGTTTGCGATTGGACCAGACGTAAGTCATCACGTACTATCAATGCCTCGGCGGTGATGTGAACTAACGTTGCCTTGCAGTCTGCCGGCGCCCACCCAGGACCTGTTTGCTACCGCAAGGGCGGACCTCTGACAGTCACTGACGCGAACCTCTTCCTGGGTCGTCTACGTCCCGAATACTTCCCTTCTATCTTCGGACCAAAGGAGGACGAATCCCTCGACTATGACGCAGCAGCCGCAGCTCTCCATAGTCTCACGAAGAAGATCAACTCCGAAGAGGGAAAGTCATTCACGCCGGAAGAGGTCGCCAGCGGCTTCCTCCGCGTCGCCAACGAAAGCATGAGCAGACCTATACGCTCGCTCACAGAAGGCAGAGGCATCCGAACGTCAAATCACGTCTTGGCCACGTTTGGAGGCGCCGGTGGGCAACATGCTTGTGACGTTGCCGAAGCGCTGGGCGTAGAGCGCGTCGTCATACACCGATTATCATCCATCTTGTCTGCGTACGGCATAGCGCTGGCCGATTTGACGCATGAGATTCAGCGTCCCAAGGCGGCTGAGCTTTCGGACCTCTCCGATACACAGCTAGGAGAAGTATTCAAGGTTTTGACGGACGAAGCTACGGCGACTTTGGTCGCCCAGGGGTTCTCTGATGAACAGATTGAGCACGAGCTATTCCTCAACCTGCGGTACAAGGGTACGAACAGCTCGCTCATGATTCGGAAGCCCGAGGGATCATGGGACTTCACTCGCCAATTTGTCGAGCACCACGAAGGAGTTCGGCTTCGTCCTAGACCGCGACATCCTCGTAGAGGACATTCGCGTCCGCGCGCTGGGCAAGACGCCCGACTCCAACGTGACCAGCGTATCGCAGGCTCTCAAGTCTGTCGAGACTAGGCTGGTACAGAGCGGTAAGAGGGCCAGCACGACGAAGCTGTACACGAGCGGCAAATGGCATGAAGTCGACCTTTTCAAGCTCGAGGATCTTTCACCAGGCGAGCGGGTCGTTGGTCCAGCCATCATCCTGGACCAGACCCAGACCATCATGATCCAGCCGTCTTGGACTGCGACTGTGCTTCCCCGTCACCTACTTATTGACAAGAATACGATTTCGCAAGGCTCCGTCGACGAAGCCGTCGAGCTCACAGCAGAGACGGATGAGGTCGACCCGATTCAACTATCAGTATTTGGTCACCGATTTATGAGCATAGCGGAGCAGATGGGCAGATCGCTGCAAATGACCTCGGTCTCCGTCAATATCAAGGAGAGGCTAGACTATTCGTGCGCCATTTCCTCGCCGACAGTTGGTCTGGTTGCCAACGCGCCGCATATCCCGTGTCATCTGGGAGCAATGAGCTACGCCGTGGCCTACCAAGCCGAGCGCTGGGGCAACTCTCTTCGCCCTGGAGATGTGCTGGTTTCCAATCACCCGGCCGCCGGCGGATCCCATCTTCCCGACGTGACGGTGATCTCGCCAGTGATCGATGAAGACACCAACGAGGTCCTCTTCTGGACTGCTTCTCGTGCACACCATGCCGACATTGGAGGCATCTCTGCCGGTTCTATGCCACCGCACTCTAAGGAGATCTGGCAAGAGGGGGCGTCCTTCTTGTCCTTCAAGCTGGTTGATGGAGGCAGGTTTGACGAGGAAGGCCTCGCTGAAATTATGCTGAAGAAGCCGGCGTCTTATCCTGGTTCCTCCGGCACGAGAACGTGGAATGACAACGTGAGCGATCTGAAGGCCCAGATTGCTGCCAATCAGAAGGGTATACGACTCATTCAGGACTCGATCAAGGAGTACGGTCTACCGACTGTCCAGGTAAGTAGAGTCTACCTAGAGAGGATAGACGTTCTTGTAGAAACAAATTACTGACGGTCAGTATCAGAAATACATGCTCGGAATCCAGAACAACGCTGAGAAGGTAGTCCGAAACCTCCTCCGCCAAGTTCATGACCAGTTTGGTGGCCTGCCGCTCGAGGCCGAGGACCAAATGGACGACGGCTCGAAGCTCAAGCTTAAGATCCGAATCAATCGCGAAGGGGGCTCTGCCGTCTTCGATTTCACAGGGACTAGTCGGGAGATGTACGGCAACCTCAACGCACCGCGGGCCATCACCTTCAGCGCCATCATCTTTGTCTTGCATTCGTTGGTCAAGGAGGATATTTCGTTGAACCAGGGCTGCCTAGCTCCCATCAACGTAATCATACTCTCTGAGACGATTATTTCCCCTTCGCTGGGTGCTGCCACAGTTAGCGGCAATGTAGAAACGTCGCAGAGAGTAACGGATGTGGTGTTGAGGGCGTTCCAGGCCGCCGCGGCTAGTCAGGGAACGTGCAATAACGTGACGTTCGGATATGGAGGTGAGATGGTCGACGGGAAGGCAAAGCCTGGGTTCGGATACTACGAGGTAAGCCATCGATCGTCTCGTATCATGTTAGTCTTCGTGTGCTGACTCCCATAAAATCAGACCATCGCAGGCGGCGCCGGTGCAGGACCAAGCTGGGAAGGCCAGTCAGGCGTACACGTCCATATGACCAATACCAGAATCACGGATCCGGAGTCCCTAGAGCGTCGATACCCGTGCATACTCCGTGAGTTCGGGATCCGGCGGGGATCCGGCGGCCGAGGCAAGTATAATGGAGGAGACGGCTGCGTCCGAGAGATCGAGTTCCGTCGAGACTTGCACGTCAGTGTGCTGAGTGAGAGGCGGACGGTACCTCCTTATGGTCTAGCTGGAGGCGAGCCTGGAGCTCTCGGCGAGAATGTGTGGGTTCGGCATGACGAGTACGGGACACGGGAGATCAACCTCGGCGGGAAGAACAGTTGCGAGATGAAGAAGGGAGATCGGATCATCATTAGTGAGTCTAGTTCGTCGACGGCGGTGACGCTGGTTTGCTAACAGCTTGGTGATAGGGAGTCCAGGCGGAGGTGCATACGGTGCCTTGTAAGGTCGTCGCTGTCGTCGGGGATGGTACGATGGTGTTTTCAGAGTGGGCCGGAAGATGTATTCTGTTCGTCGTTCCCATGGCCAAGCCCGATGAGGGCGAGGGAAGCTGTTTAATAGAAATTCTCAATGAGCACTGCAGCTGTAGAAATTCTGGAGACTTGCCAGGATGTTTGGACCAGACTTGGCTCGAAGTTGACGCATAAGACTAAGGACCCCCAGCTTGGCCTCGGTTGCGTGTGCCGCGATGCCGTGGTGCCGTGGTGCCGTGTTGCCGTGCTTCCGTCCACGCGGTGCCGTGATAGCCGTCGACGAACATTCTTAGCCTTAGAGTTCCGCGCCATTTTGCGGGAGGAAACAAATCCCCCATGTTGGCGCCGGTGGAGGCCGCTTGCGATGGCCTGCATTTTGACAGATCCGATCTATCGGATCGACACTTTTTTTAAGGTTGAGTTTGCAACGCGGGTGCATCTTTCGTGATCCAAGCGCCCCACTCTTCAACTTCATCTTATTGAGACCTCAACACATCGATGCCAAGCAAACCTCGCCGTCCATTCATTCCTCGCCGGATTTAATTTTTTGGCATTTCTCTGGTTCTTACTTCTTTCCCTCAGTATTCCATGTCACATTTCATCGTCTAAGATCTACACGTCGAATACGGGCGAAGAAGGGTAAGGTGAGGTGATGGAAATGAGCATCCCGACGATGAGGATGAGAGTTCTCTAATCTATTACGAAGAATCATTTAAAGACGAGTTTGCCGCCAGCAGATGAGCCAACGCTAACCGTCCTAGCCCAGAACAAGTTTCACAGGCTCCAAGAGTCGGAGAGAACGACTCGCAGTTGATTGTTCATAAGCGAAAAGGGTGGTCGTCGCTGAAGAATGATGCGATAGCAACTGCTTTGTGTCTAGCTGTTCACTGCAGGAGAGATTGCAAGGTATCATACAACCAGGTAGCTCAAAATAGATCAGCGAATTTATCGAACCTGGGTTTACACTAGTCACCAAAACCAAAGCAATTCACGATGAAGAAGGCAAAGTAGTTGAGTCAAGTCATGAGGATTATATTGTAGGTACATGCTCCCCATGTCCATATATACAGTGAATGGCCAAGGGGCCAAGTGATGCGCATCAGCTTACACACCACAGAAAAGAAAAATGTGGGTGGTTTCTTCCCTCCTAAGTTCTTTAACCAAAAACGAAGTTCACTCGCAGTCTCTCGGAGACTGAGTGCGGCAAGAGCAGCACCGTCGCCGTCACAGCAAGCTGTGTTAGCGACCAAGACCGGAACTCAAGAACACCAAACAGCTCAGGAGCGAGCCATTTAGCAGGCCTTGAGGGTGGAGTACTTGCAGGCGCTGGACGGGCCAGCGCCAATCTTCTTGGGCTCGTTACCGGGGGTGGTGCCCTGGAACTCGGTGCAGATCTCCTTGACGGAGGTGGCGCAGGTGCCGGTGATGGTGGAGGTGTCACCCTTGTTGGAGTTGATGCCGGTGAGCATCTTGCCGTTGTAGGCCTTGACGTTCTTGACAACGACGGTGCGCTTGCCCATGGTCTTGCAGTTGCCGCAGGAGCGGTAGAGCTTGCCGAAGTCGACAACGGTGAATCCGTCAATGGTGACGGTGCCGAGACCATTTTGCTGGATGACCTTGTCCTCGGCGCCGCGGGCACCACCGCCAATGATGGAGGCGTTGCCGTCTCCCTTGAGGGAGAGAGCGTCCTCGCAGACGGCGGTCCACCAGACGTTGTTGATGGTGCAGGAGCCCTTGCAGTGGACACCCTCGATCTGGTCGGCACCGATGATGGCGTTCTTGAGGGTAGCACCGCTCTCGAGGAGGAAGACGGCGTCCTTGTCGCCACCCTCAGCCTGGCCAGTGCACTTGACGCCACGGCCGTAGGTCTTCATGCCACCATCGAAGGTTCCCTTGACGGACTGGGCGGCCTTGTAGGTGACGGTTCCCTTGGAAGCGGGGATGGGGAAGGAGGCGCGCTTCTCGATGGCACCGAAGTTGTTGGGGGAGGACTCGGCACCGGGGGCGGCGATGACGGCAGAGGCCGAGAGGGCAGCGAGGACAGCGGAGAACTTCATTTTGAATATGGTGGTTGGTTTAAGAAAACACGTAGAGGTGGAAGTAGTTTGGAAGTGTTGACAACGAATGAATAACCACCAGGGCTAAAGAATGTGAGTAGTTGGATTGGTAAAGAGAGACTGTAGCGGAAGATGCTGATGAAAGTGATGAGGAATAAGAGAGAAGAAGGTTTGATGAACGGGAGCTTGCAACCTTCTTATATCTTTCGATGTTGGGCAGATTCTGGGAAATTCTGCTCTCCTCCAGGCTACTCAACAACATACTTTCCCCTTCCCGCAGGAGTCATCCTGATCCTGCATCTCATTCACGCTGCCAAGACCTTAGATAGTGGGACCTTGGCAGGTCGAACAGCTCACAGTGACACGGATACAAAAGCTTTTGCCCAGGGCTGGGGATGAACTGAGGCGAGGACGTCCAAAAGTTCACAGCCCGCAGTCTGGCCCACGATGGAGCTCACGGGATTGTTGGCGAATGGCTAGTCTGTGTCCTGGTTCCTGGACGAGCTACACACCCCGACTAAGCTCACGGGATGGAAGAGACATGGCCCCCCTCCTCCTCCTCGCCTCTGCCTGAATCGACAAGAACGGGGAGTTAGCGAGGGAACAGTCGATTCATTTCGGGCAGAGCCTTCCTTCCCTGTCCATATGATCCACTCCGATATCAGAAAGTGGTTCGGGCGCTTCGGCGAGACGCAATCATCAGCGCAGCGACGAGCTGTTTCAATGTTCGAGGGGGCAGAAAGACTGCCCAGTGTCCGAGAAGGTACACACGATGACATGGAGGCATTCTCGTCGACAATTTGCCCACGGCTATGGGCTCAGGGGTTGACCCGTGACCGTGCTGTATGTGGCATGGGGATGGGGAACATGAGCAAGTTGGAACCTCACTCTCTTTTCTTTGCCCTGCAAACCCGGTACTTACGATTACCCAGAGTAGGCTCGCATTTCGTATTTGTCTAAATTGTGGCGCCGTCTTCCTGGTTAACCATGAAACAAGTCAGGGGCTGTCACAGGGTTAGTATGTAAGTTGAAAGATTAGACCATGTTCCAAAAGATGGAGTTGAGATCCACAGTAGAGTCCTCTTTGGGAAAACTACGGATAGTAAGTCAGAGATTTGGGGGATTTCTGCAGTGCTGGGCAGCACTCTGCTAGCAAAATGTGTGTCTCGCTCTCGGAGCTTATGCCGTGAGCAGAAAGACGCAAAGAGCAGACTGTCGGCCAGAATCCGCAATGTTTCCGTCGCTAGCGCGCGGGAAGAGCTCCTATTGGCCGGCACCCTGGTTTCGGTTGTATATCGAAGGGAGATGAACTGGGGCCTTTTCGAGATGGAGCCAACGTCTATTTAGATAAGACCCATTACCACGGTCCTGAGTAATTCCCGGCCTCACGGACTGGCGTCGGAGGAGAGAGACTCAAAAAAGTGGCATTGGACGGCGGTAGTGTCCTTGCTGTTCTAGCTGGTTTCTTTTTGTATTCTAGCGAGAGTTGATACCCAAAACATCGGTACTACGGTAGTTGTCTGTGAGTTCTTGGCTCCTTGCAGCCATGGTTGAGCCTTTTCTCGAATAACCTCTCGAAGGTTTAGGGGAAATCTGTCTGACGTGTTTTGGGGTGGAGCGTGATCCCGCGAACTCTGATTTTCTCGGTCGCACAATGAGGGTCCCGACCAACCCAGGATGGCACTTTTAAGTCGTGGCAAGCCTGATATTATCTCTTTCGAATCTCCCCCAGCTGCTGGCAGCATATTGCCAGTGCACGGCGCAGCCCAGTCCCCCCTTGACCGCAAAATCTGCCCCCATGGACACATGTCCGCCATCCCTGTTCAAGCTTATTGACCTTAATCCGCTATCCGGGGTATCGCTGGAGCCGAAGAAGAGAGAAAAGCTGGAACAGCGCAATGCGGGCTGTGCGCTAGCGGCAAGAGGGACAGCAGAAGCACGTTGCCGCTGACACAGCGCTCATCTGAACCAGATTCGACATGCCACTGTCAAAGTTCAAGATCCCAGTGCTATCACTGGTGGATCAAAGTCCAAAGGTTGCTGAATCAGTTTGGTAGTCTTTTGTGACATGTCTAAATTGCAAACAACCCGAGACAGACCCCGCCAGACATAATGCGACAATCGCGATAGAGTCAAATGATCTCCAGTTCTACAATATATCACCAACGCGTCTGCGTCTGGAATTGCGGGTGTGATGCGACTGTGCAGGCCGGAAACAGCACCATCGATATCCGAAAAAGGCCAAAAGAGGCTCTTAATGTCACCGTTGCCATCGCTTTTGGGCCTGCCCTGTCGGACGAGGCTCCGATTCCCGTTGCATCGAGACATGGTTAAACAACGGATACCGGTTTTTGTGCACTGGCGGTGTGAGCGTGTGAAAATCCGCTTGTTTGCCGAACTACCTGGGAACGCGGATAACCCGTGGCCTAGGCGAAGATGGGAGCGGAGATCGGATGCTCTCAACATTGTCACCTTAACACTAAATATTGACCCACGAGGGGGCATACCAGATGAGCCCGGCAGGCTGGCAAGGGGACGTGACCTGGTGAGGTTCGGTTCTCCTAGTCATGGACCTAATTCCACCAATGCGAAAACGACTCAAGTTCTGTTGGATGTTGTGTGCGTGCCCACGGCACTCACTCCAGAAACGTGATGGGCTGTGATGTGTGCCAAGGAAATTCTGGAAAGGAGTCGCCAAGACTTTTCAATATAGTGTGCCAAGACATTCTGGCACCCATAGATCGGCACACTTTTGGGCTGCGCTGGCCGAGGTTCCCGGTCCAATCGAGACAACTCAATCGCAAAGAGCTTTGTTTTGCTTGAGAAACCAGCCAAAACTCTGTGGTTTTTTGACTTTTGGGCGTTCCTTGACGAACTCTTTTGCGTTTCGGCGATGCTCATACTGACGGCCGAGT